TGGAATGGAATGGAAAATGAGATGAAATCTGAAAATAACTGAGAACCCCTTTTAAAATGGTTTTAACTTCCAATTTTAATATGCAACAGGAAAACCATCTCGACACCAACAGAATAGCTAACATCCAGGCTTTTCTTGAGCCCCCACCAGGCAAAGCACTGCTTATTTATTTCAGTTTTTTAAGACATTATAGTCAGTATTCAAGCACTGATCTTCCAATAACAGATAAATATCAAATGATATTTTCAAATTTCCTTTCAATTTTAAACATTTTTTGACTCAAAACATTGTAGCCATTTTCTTTCCTCATAGGAAAAGGCTGAAAACTGAACAAAGTAGCAATATTGAACCTTGTTTTGCTGCTAAGAGGAAGTGCTTCCTGTCCACTGTCACCACATGCTTGAATAGGAGAAAAAACTGAAAAGTCAACAACTCAATAAAGTTAGCTGGTCTTTCTTAAACAATCTTGACTATTGTATTGTAATTTAGACTTATTACTTAATAAAGGAAATAGAGAATAAGTTTAAACCAGTAAAGGAGCGATCAGATCCATGAGTTTATATCAGGTTGTTATGAGTGAAAACGATGGATCACAAAACCCATTCTTGCAATTTTGTCATGTGCCTCATGCAGAGCAAAGATCATTTAGTTGTTCACTTAAAAAACAGATTTTCTCCTTGTTCTACAACATTTTTAAAAATGAAATCAAAACCTCCTCATTCCCCAACATAACCTGTCGTTTTTCTTACAGTAGATAACCACCACGTGCTAATCTGAACGCACCGCGAGGCAGTTCAGTGACTCGACACCACAATGTCAGGCCGTCCTGCTGAAACAGCTAATGTCCTGGTAATCATCCACACTCTTGATGGCCATTTAAAGAACTTTGATTTTGTGTGGGTGTTGAGGGCAACACTTGCAGAGTGGGATAATAATTACCTCTCAAGTTTGAGAGTGCAATAACAAGCACAACAGCGGCACTGTGTCAAAGGTCAAAGATCTGACACAACAAGCCTCCCCTTGTTGGACACATTTGTAGGCAAAGTGAAGGAAGGCAGGTGTGCCACATAACTATCATAAAGAATGTAATTTTTTTTAATAAGAACATGTCATCCTGGATTTAGCCACCATTGTTGAGTTTGACAAGCACAAAATCTCTCTTTTGAGTCCATGTCAGATATGAGTTTGGTACCTAAGAGCACAATGGGTGTTTACGAGTAGTGACAGTGTGATGATGGCAGTTTCATTGCCTTACGATTGTTCCCCTTGCCAGGGCGACTAAATCAGACCTGCCAGATTACAGGGTTCGTTGTGACCGGAGTGCTGCTCAACAACACGGTGCCTGAGGCTTCACAGCGAACTCCTGCTGTTTGTCACTCCAGTCAGAGTGATGTGTTATCGCAAGAAGCAACACAATCACCAGAGACTGCAATGCAAGCTTCTGCTTTTATTGGCTTTCAGGGAGTAAAACACTGCCAAACAACAATGTCCAAACAGTTGCAGTTTGAAAACAGACTAAAATGTTAAGACCTGTCACAATATCAAAATTTACTGGATGATAAATTGCCCCAGAAATGATTGCAATAAACGATAACATTGTTATTTTGAGAACATTTTCAAGTTGATAATAGCCTAATAATGCACGCCTAATAAAAAAAAAAAAAAAACACTTAACACAAGAACTATTTTTAAATACCCAAAATAAAACATAGCAAACACAAACAATAAACACAATGGAAATAAAAACAATACACAAATAAAATGGGTTGTGAAAACTGCCCTTCAAAAAAATATTCGTAATAAAGAATGAAAGTTATTGTTTCTTAAGACTATATCAAACTTTGTTAGAAAAACCATGACACTGAGCGTATTTACAAAGTCGAGTGTAACTGTAAAATTAAAGGATAACAATAAAAGGTTGAGTAACGCATTTACTCTAACACTAGAATAAAATGCGACCAACTAACTGCCTATAGAAGTAACTAAATTGATAAACAGAGTCTGCCAGTAAATCATTTAATATTTTCTAAACCGCCCAGTCAGCGCCAGTTCTGTAAAACAAGGTCATACAGCTACTGAACATAAGCTTTCATTATTAAGTAAAACTTTCCATCAAGCTGAGCTGGACAGCGACCAACAAGTAGCTCAGAAGCGTTTCTGACTTCAACACCGGCCGGTCCAGCTTATGAAACCAGCCAGTGTGACGTCCAGGTTCCAGTCTTCAAGTCTGTGGTTGACTCAAGACTGAGAAGACTGGGAAAGGGAGGGTGAAGCAACGCAATTACACAACTTTCTCCTTGTTTTTTTAGTCAGGATTCTTGTTCAAACTGGTTTGAAGATAACTCTATATAAACTCATCTTTATAGAAAGATGAGTTTCTGTACCGAAACTCACTTCGAAACATCAAGGAAAGCTAAACCAGTGGAGTGAGTTTCAACACCATGCTGTCAAGTCCACAAGGGAGGAGACTTTCTTAAACGATTATACAGAAAATCAGAAGTAATTTTACATTTTTACTATGCCAAACCCATTCAAATCCCGCTAAAAGGGTCTCATTATGATCAAACAGCTTTCTGTAAGTGTTAATTATCTAACAGCTTGTTTCTAGTCATTACTTTAAGAGTGAAACTCACAGCATGGCGTTAAAAACCAAATTAATGCCACTCCATTTGGAGCAGAGCCACTGTTGGTGTTCTAATGAAATCCAAACAAAATTTCCGCCAGTTGTGACACAATTACAACATCGTTCCCTGCTAATAAACATCCTCGCTGTACAGTAGGTTACACCGGCAAGTAGATCCCACAGCTCTGCAAATCACCTCCTTGGAAGAACAACTAATATTTGCTTTATGTAAAGACTCTTAGTGGTGTTAAACAGCGAGTGTGCGCAAACATAAAAATGTCTCCGGGCGACGTGCAGATGGATTCATTCACTCCTATCACCTGAGTTGGTGAACACAAAGGGATTGTCAGGAGCTGTGAAAAGGGTTCATTGTTGCATTCTTGCGCTGACCGCAGCGTCGACCCAAAGGCTTTCCATTTTAAAAAAAACCGGCGGCTAATTCTGTCCAATTCTCAGACTACGTACTTAATTGGGATAAAACATTGTGTTTACAGTTACTGCACAGTCACACACACACAGCCGATAAGTGTCAACCTTTGTCCCTTCAATGCAGTCATTGGATACAATACCGCTGCTGCAGCGAGCGTACATTTATCAACCCACCATTGCTAACAAAACAAGAAACCTCGACGTGCAATTTTTCTGTTTAAAGTACACAAATTAGAAGAGGTTTCGCAGCAAAAGGGCATGAAAATGAAACACTATAATTTACAAAGGAAAAAATTGTCATCATATAATCATTTAATGTGTTATGTGGTGAAAAGTATCAGGGAGGACTGACTCAAGCTTCTGCCCAGAGGTCTCCAGTTCCATTCAACACTAGGCTTTTCAGTTTTATCCTTATTTATGGGGCTGCCACAGTAAGAGTCTGTTTATCTCTGCAGTCTGGTTTCATTTATAAGATTTGATTGCTAAAAAAAAAACCCTTCCAAACAGTTGTTCTTGTGGCTGTAAGCTGATTTATTGAGTGCTGAAATATATCTAAATGCTCTTTCAGTGAAGGAGTGAACTTCTGCAGAAGTCCAGGGGAAATATTTCCTACCTGTGGCCGTCAACCTGTGTAACTCCTCCTTATGACCACAGACTGTCACTTGCACTCATGCTATTTTTTTTTTGCAGTACCACAAACTTAGGACAGGATACAGCTTGATGTACATACTATATATTTATAGTACTCGTTCTTTACAGACATGTCTGCACAAACGGAAAGAAAAACATTTGACTGCAGTCAGTCAACAAATATAAACCACAATTTAAAGGTACGCTCTAGGACACACAATCAACAATTGCTAAATTAATGTTTTTCTTCTGTCTAAAAAAAAAGCATCAAAATCAACTTTTTTCAGATAAATACAATCTTGGCAATACAATCCTTTTACATATTTTGACTTACTTTTTCTATATCATTTATATTGCTATTAAGTTTCTAATTTAAAGTTGTAGTTTTGAGAAAAAAAAGTTTTTAATACAGAAAATAATGAAACATTTGCATAAAAGTCTTATAAAGAAACTCCAAATTCAGTCAAAAAGTAGGATTTTCACTTTATGAACAAATCTCTGACCTTGAAGCTTAAACAGTAAAATCTATTTGTCTGTTTTTATAGCCTGGCTTAGTTTAGATTAATCAAGATTTGGTAAACAAAACATTCAGGCACAGTTTTTCTTATGGTAGTTACTAGATTAAGTGATGAAGAAAATATAATAATAATTACAAAGTATTTTATAATATGTCTATTGCAGTACTGTGGAACAAACACACATATATTTTTAGGTATTTTTAAGAATAGACATGTCTCATTTTAAATCATTTATCTTTTTTAATACTCTGGAAAGCAGAGCTAAAATTATAGCTTAATATTTAATAGCTTTTTAACATATTTAAACAATTTTCTTGCCTTAAGAAAGGTAATATGTCCAGTAAAATATTTTTGATTTATCAAATACAATCAACAAAATAAAGCAGATTTCACACCAACGGATTATGACAAATCTGCAGAAAAAAATATTTTAATACTGTCAAATGTGGAGTGTTTTCTAACTCACTCATTCTAACATTTTTATTTAAAATTTCCTTCCCACAAAATTGTTAATATTATTATTTGTAGAAGTTAATCTTTTTTAATTGAATTTATTCAAAGCGTTTTCCATATATTAGTTGTTGTTTTTTTAACTTAGGAAATAATTGCCTCTATTTTAATTTATCAAACGTTAATCTGCATCTCTGGGTATTGCACAACTTTTGTTTTTCATTGCACATTCACAAAACGATGCACAGCAACAACAACAAAAAGTGCAACACTTTTCACGCAAAACGAAAACACCACAATAAGTCGACGTCGGTCGAGTTAAAGTACAACGATAATCAGTTTTCACTTACTTTCTCCGTGCGCTCCGTGACAGCTCATCAGCAGGCAGGCAGCGGCCAAAACACAGCCCAAAGTCCGGAGCCACATACCTGCTACTGTCCGACCACCGCTCCGGCCAAAACACACGATAATCCCGTGCGAAAGGTGGCGAGGGGTGAACAGTCCAAAACCGCAAAAGATACGCGCTCAGGAAGCTTGGTTTGTTTGGCAGCGTGGGCCAACGGGTAAACAAAAATAAATAAAAGACATCCCGGAAGATGGGCGGAGGAACGAGTCCAACGTGTTCACTCAAGCTAACGCAGCAGCGGCTACAGCTAGCTGCTCCGTGAAAAATACCCCCACACTGACACCAGGACCACACACGAGCATTTATTGTGTCGCTTAAACGTGACGCCTACATTAAACCAGACCAAACGGAGCTCGGGAGCTCGTTCGCGTCCGCAAGGAGGGAGTAAAAAGCAAGACTTTTTCAACTTGTTTTAGCCGTTGTTGCTGCTAGCTCGGGAAGCTAGCCTCTGGCTGCTCCGCTCTGGTCCAGGCCACAAGGGAAGTTCAGCAACCTCCCCAGTCAGCTCAAACTTCAGAAAATGTCACAGCATTGTTTTGAAAAAGCCCATAAAGATGCATGAGTAAAAAATAAATATAAAAAAGCCGACCTTTATTGGAATTCAAGGGGATTTGTGGCGTAATGTTAGCGTTTCTTTCGTAGAAGAAACAAAAACATCCAGACAGAAAAAGAGCTCAGTCTGCTTTCTTCTTATCTTGACGAATATTTTGGTGCTCGTTCAGAAGCTCCAAGGCTCCCCAGGCTTTGCAGAGATTTCACGTCCACTCTGAAAAAAAGCTGACAGGCAGTCCTGGTCCTGGCGGATCAGAAGCCCTCCACTCTCCTCTTAGTTTGGGAGTTAAAGAGAACGAGGGGGGGAAAAACGCTCCAAGTTGGCTTCACACTCTGCACACCAGTCTGCTTCAAAAACTGCACATGCATGTGCATGAGCAGGAAAGAAATAAGAGTTTTAACTTTCTTTCTCTCCCCTCCACAGACAGGTAGATTGTAGAGTCTCCTGCAGGATCCCCTTCTTCCCAGGCTCTCCGCCAGTAAACAAACTCTGCCAGGGAGCCAGAAGGGCTCGAGGGGAAATACGGACTGGAGCTTAAAGGATTACAAAAACAAGCCAGGCAAACTTTAACGCGTTCATTTGGGTGCAGGTCCCCCTGCAAGGCATTGTATATAAATTGATATAACGCTCATCAGAATATGTAATCCAAAATATGTAATCAGTTTACTAGAAAAGTAACGCCAGGTAGAGTTACATTTACTCAATTACATATTCTTGAGTATTTTCTTTGTCACCAGACACAAACATTTGCAGTTCTGTAAAAGTTATTATTATTATTATTATTATTATTATTATTATTATTATTATTATTGTAAGAATTTTTTAAAAAATGTTTCTTTTGAATTATTTTCATTTTCCACATCGCTTTCAATTTTGGTCCATCAAAAATATTTAACCAGTTACTCAGTACTTGAGGAACCTTTTTACCAAATACTTATTTTTTTTACTCTTACTTGAGTCATTTCTTGGACGGCTACTTCCTACTTTTTACTTGAGTAAAAAATGTTGAAGTAGTGTTACTCTTACTTCAGTATAGTTTTTACTACCTCTGGCAACATATTTTTACTCGAGTGAAAGTAAAGAAGCACAACCGAAGTGCTGAGTAACTGATCAAAACATCAGTTTAATATTTAAAAATTGCACAATCACAATGTAAATGTAACTCGGTTAGATTTACTTGAGTAACTTTTTTGAAAAAAATGAACTTTTATAAGAATTTGTACTATGTTGAAAGTGTTATATTTACTTGAGTAATTTTACTATGACATATCGTTACTCTTGCTTGAGTAAAATTTCTAGATTTTCTGCCCACTGAATGAAAAACAAACATGTTTTAACCAAGAATTTGCCAAACACACAGACACACCTCCAGTTTTAAAGTTTTATAAGTTTTTTTATTGAAAGAAAATGATTTGGAAACATTTTCTATTGCCTGGTTTTGTTATTACTTATATTAATCATTGTAATTTTGGTTAATAAAATACGTCAACTTAACATTATATTCTGGTCCATATGATGATGCATTTTTAAATATCAAATGATTGATAATTTGATAAGTTACTCAGTATTTTATTAAATACTTTCTTATTCTTACTTGAGTTGGTTATATTATATAATTTTGGAATAGTTTATATTTGGATATAAATCCCATTGAAAGTCCATCCTGGAGCAGTAAATATGAGACTTATTTTCAAAATTAAGCGATTATCTCCCTTCCACTTTAAATCTGGATCAGATGCAGATAAAATAAATAAATTAATTTAAAAAGCATCTTTGATTCTCATTCTTTAGCTTTACCCAAACCAGCTTTATTTTTAGTGAACTGTTGGGGGGGAAAGATGAGGAAGGAAAATATGTGAATGAATGAACCATTGTTTGAAAAAAAAAAAAAACACTGAACTTGATTGTCCCTTTAAGGTCCTCTGCTGTTCTCACACTCGGACAGGGAGAAACAGAGGGATTACGTGTTTCACGCTCTTCTCACCGCTGAGCTCCCAGAGGCTCAAAATATCCCAGCACGTTCTTCCTGAAGTGTTGTTCTTGTGCCCTGCGCTTGTGCCAAAATGCCATCTCCGTTGCCACTGCTAATTCTGTTTACATCCTGCATTAGAGCTGAGACGTGTTTGATCATCACGTCCTGTTTTCTGACCACTGAAAGGAGTCAAGTTCAATTCTTCAACGTGGACGAAAACGCTCTTAAACAGTCAATTCTTGTGTATTATTTAGAACAGAATAATGAGGCTTGAGCTCAGAGGTTCAGAGGTCATATGTTTAGCAAAAGCTCTTATGTTTTTGTTGAGTTGACTGGAAAACGGGCGTCAGGGCTAAATTGCACCGCTGTGAATTTGACATCTTAGGCATTAATCCAGCATAGATTATGCCATCTGTAGGAGCGAGCGGTCTTAATGAGATTAAATCTTACAGTGAGTGGCGGGACAAAGCCATGCTCCGCTTCCCATTCATGAGCTGAACTCTGTTATTAACTTTATTATCTGAGGTCCTCAATTAAATAAGACATTGTTTCAAAATTTGACCCAGTCCTTGGTTAAAATGTCATGTTTTTATAATGACCATTATATATAATTTCAACAATTTCTTTCTTATACAACGTCACATTTATCCTTAATATTCAAATGCTTAAAATAAATAAGTATTTTGGATTGAAGACACAAATGCAATAAATCCCTAAATGAATACTTTGTTAAATCACATTTTGGTTTTATTTGGTATGAGTTCATCTCTAGAGAACTTAGCAGGGATATTCAACTACTAAAATGGCCTAGTCAAAGTCCAAAGTTCTATTGTGTCAAAGATATAGTGTGTCTTTGTGACAGGCCTGGAACAAACAATAAATTAAAATACAACTGTTCAATCTGTTTGTTGACTTTTGGACTTTTTTTTTTTATCCCTGATTGATTGATAAAAAAAAAACATTCCTCAGCAAAAGAGTGAGATGCAGCCAAAACATCTAAATAAAACTCTGACGGTAAACACAACTGCTGCACAAATAAAAGATTACAAGAAAATCTGAATCATTGGGAAGCAAATAAAGAAATTTAACAGATTAATTTCAGTATTATGCGTTTCTGGTGGATAGCATGATCAATATTGTTTTGATTTATTGAGAAATAAATGAATTAATTGCTCAACTGTTCTAATATTTTTCATATTCCTGATGCTATTCCTTAAAAGTTCTATTGTGAAATGATTGCTGATGTATTATATTTCAAATAGTCTTTTTAATATTCAAAATATCACTTATATTTAAATATCCTACTCAGTTGCACATCCTTTGGATTTGAGTAAACTATTTTTATTTCTGAAAACTACATGGTATTTTATTTACTGTATTATCCTGAACAGTGTATTATTATTAATGTTGCTATTGTTTAGCATGATTTTTTTTATTTTTTATTCTGTTCCAGTCTGCTGGATGTCACTGATTGTCTCTCTTGAATTAGCCAGGTATGCGAATATTTTAGCTTGCTTCATGTTGACAAACATGAAGTTTTCAAAATAACTAATTTTGTCAAATGTTTACGTTTGTATCCCATGTTGCGGCACTGACCGGATAAGGTCATTAGTCACAGTGGCTCAGACTTATTGATGAGCTATTGAGAGGTGAGAGGAACAAAAAACAAATGACTCATGAACACATGATCAGAATGTGCTAAAACCCCTGTAATCCTGAGCACCGGGGTCAGGTCAGTTTGCTAAAAGTGGAGCAGAATGACATGCAAAACATGGCTGGATTGGAGTGGGCTGCTGTTTATCACCTGCTGCTGTTTATCACCTGCTGCAGGTAGCAGGCGCTCGAGGCTGCTGCTTTTATTTTACATAAAAGGTTTTATTATGATTTGGGTTGACGAATGCTTATTATTTCATGGGTGGGAGCAACGTTTGGCATGTTTTGACAGTTTATTATTGTCTCAAAACACCTGCATTAACAATCTCATTTGAGTTTAATAGAATTTAAATGTGGCTGTGCAGCTATGAGTATTCATCACCTGATTCTCAGAATGGTGAGAACGTTAAATTTGGTTGCAGCCACAGATTTTAAGTATTTAATTGGAATTTTTAAATGGTAGAGTAATCAGAGGCATCTTCAGATACTGTGCAACACTGACTGCTATTGGAGATCCTTCTTGTCCAACAGTGACTGTTTGAGGATACTTGGAGGATATGAGTTACATTTAATTTAACACTTTTAATTGAACTGATTGTCAGACTTCTGTTAAAAGAATATGATTTAATTCCCCCCCCCAGAGTTTATTATATTGATTTTATACCATCTAAATACCTTTTTCTGTTGTCTGACTTTCTTCTCTTAATTCATGACTTAATTGTTGGATCCAATCTCCATAACTGCTACCAATTAACCAGAAATCAAAGACAGTGTCAAAGCCACTTGTGAAGCGATCCGCTGAGCATTCTGAGCTTTAGTTTATGTTTTTCTTGGGAATCCAGTCGATGAGAAATGTGGATCCCATTGTGAAAATGTTGCTGTTTATGACCCAACATTGATGTCGCCATCTAATCTGAACGTTTGTGGTTTAGAGGAATGAAAGGAGCAACTTGGCCAGAACACAATCCATGAGAGAAGAACTACTGTCTTTACAAAACAGGAGATTAAAAACATCAATTTTTATGAACAAGACAACAAGAGGCAGTAAATCCAAATATGCCCTCTGTAAAGTAATTCGATTTTGAACTTTAGTGCATGATATCCCACCTAAATTATTGTAGCTCTTATTCAAGTGCTAAATAAATACCAGTGTTTGGATAAATAGCCTGCATTAATTTATAATGATGTAAAACTGAAGCCAGCAAGAGTAAAAAAAAATCTCACCACATCACAATTATAATTTTCTTTTTGTTATTTTTTATTTATCTGATCAATTTATTTAAAAATAAAATCAATATTTTTAAGGAGTCAAGCATGTCCGTAGGCCTGTCACAACAAATTTTGCTGGACGATAAATTTTTCCAGTATTTATTGCGATAAACCATTATATTGTTGCTTTGAGGTCATTTTTAATATAATGGTAACGGCAAAAATAATGATGCAAGAGCAAATCCTAAAAGATCAGTAAACTTTAAATTCTAATGAACATTTAACACTGGAACTGGAAAACGTTTTAAATATCCAAAATAAACAAACAAAACAACAAATAAAATTAATTCTGAAGTGTTTGCATACAAAATTAATCTTTAAAAAAGAGCTAATTGAGACAAAAACCGCCAAAGTGAAGACTTTTATCATCCACTTTTTGATAAAAAGAGAGAAAAAAACAGATAAACGTTAAATCATGTCAATTGATTTATTGATTATTGTGACGGGCCCACATGTCCCCCACACAGAGTTTCCTACCAAAGGTGAGTTGCAGGATTATAATCTCTCCTGTGGCATGAAGAATCTTCCTTTGCGGCGCCTTCAAGGAAACTTAAACACATCCGGTGT